CGGAGACGACTCGACGCCGCTGAGATCGGAGATCAAGCTCTGACAGGTCGCACGTCGCTCCTTTGACGCCGACGTGACGCACCCGTGCAGATCACATCAGGACACGGTCTCGACGCGCTCGGTACGAAGCCTGCGACCCGTCTCGGGTCAGGTGGCACGACGCTCATCGCGCCTACCAGCGCTGCCATACAGGTTGCCACGACGAGGTCGAGCACGCTTCTATACGCTCGCCCAGCCTTCCTTTCCATCCCATTGGCGGTCAGAGGCAAAGCCTACGAGGGGTGGTGGAACCACATGTCACGGCCACCGCCGGCTCGACCCCACGATTGGACAGCCTCCGAAGGCTGACTTTGCGGCACCATCATCGGACGATGTCGACGAGTTGGGTCGCTCTCGCGGTAGCCAGATGACCTCTCATACTAGCATCATCGGCCATGGCCGCAGGGAGCGCGGGGGAGGGCACTGGGAGCAACACGAAGCTCTCCGTTGGACGTTTTCAAGATTTAGCGCCTCGTCGCCGCGTCGGTCAGGCTCACCCTCAGGGAGAGTGGTGAGGAGGAGGGCCTCTGGGGGGAGGAGGGCCTGGGGATCTCGGTTAATCTCGGCGGATCTCGGCGGATCTCGGTTAATCTCGGCGGATCTCGGCGGATCTCGGCGTGTCTCTCCCTCCGACGAAGGAGCCGGTGGCGCTGGCGAGCGAGGCGAGGCCGCCTACAGCAAGCGTGCCGAAGGGCTGTCAAACCTGTTCGAGGCGAGGAGGCGGAGCGAAGCGATGGAGCGCCGGAGCTGCTTCGCTCCTCCGCCCCCTCCTCCTCTGCCCTGCGCCGCTCCTCCGGGCGGGGGGAGGCTGGAGAGAGACGGGGGAAAGCTCCGCCGTTGTCCGGCGGGGCTCTGGCGGCCGCAGCGGCGGCGGGCGGCGCGGAGGGCGGAGTCGGATGCGAAGGGGGGGAGGAGGAGGGCGGCGGCGGCGGCTCGGCGGAGGCTGTCGCGCCGCCGATTGTCTCGCGCGCGTCGTTGAGAACCTGTTGACTAATGGACGAGTGGTGAGCTCACTCTTCCTTAGCAGCCCGAGGCGCTCAGCGTTGAGGGCCATCGTCCCGACGGCAGAGGCGACGCTGCCGACGCCGAAGCCGAAGCGAGAGACGGCGCCGAGCGCA